GGCTTGGGGTGACTTGTAGGCACAGGATGCCAAGTAGTTCTAATTTGGGGAATAGAAAGCAGGCAATTTCAGAGTCACAGGGAGGAACGATCTTACGTACTGAGTGAGAGCTAGATGATGAAGATCACGCTTATGATCCCGACTTGCTGGATTGCAGGGAGGAGACATCAACCACATGTGACGGTCAATGCCTGGAATTTACATAAGTGTATACCACCAATGAACAAACCTCTAGGACACGTTGTTTAAAAAGTGCACACAATTTGCACCAGGTAGCTTTATATGGGAGCCTTTAAGAATGAATTAAAATGCCTAATGCTTATTGCACACTTTCTCAAACAGCACAAGTTTTCATGCGTTAAATGCTCATTATGAGATACATAATGACCCCATGAAGTAGGCTCTGTTATCATCCCTATTTTATAGATGAAGAAACTGAGGGACCTAAAGGTTATTTAACTTGTGCAAGGCAAAAATCAGTGTCAAGGCGAAGGTTTGGAGCTGGCAGTGATGTCACAGCTTATGATCAGCATCACTACGCTGGGCCACACCCCCTCCCTCCTCATACATCTGTATCCTGTGGTCTCACCTGCAGGGCATTTCAAACGGGAAGACCCAGTGTTTACTCACTATACCCCCAAGAGAGTGTTAGACAAGATTTTTCAGTTCCTTGAAACACAGTGCATCTCTAAGTTCCAGAAATTATTTCTAGGAAATAAAAAACATTAAAAGGAAATATTTCTGAGAAATAACAAAATCGTTGTACAAATAGAGGTTGAATCCGTGCCTGATTATCTGTTAATTAAGGACAGTGTTAACAGGAGCCACTGACATCCTCCAGTGTCCCATAAACTTTACTGTGATCAGTTAGGTCCACAACTGAGCTCTTAACTACTGTCTAATTTAGATGCTCGCTTTCCATGAGCGAGTCCCACTGCCTGTGCATGAATTTCCCCATCTGGAACCCAGGGTTAACGATAATACTTCCTTCAGAGCATTGTTGGAAGGAACAGAATGACAGTTTATGAGCAGCACATGGTAAACAGAGGATGACACAACCATCATCAGATCAGTAATCAAACCAACACATAAAAGTTAAATTGGAAATGGTGACTCCTCTTTTACGAACCGTCCGCCAAACTGCAGCAAATCTGTCTCTGTCTCCATGTCTCTCAGTTGTGGGTTGAAAGATGAAGCCCAGGTTGGCAGGAAAAATGTCCTTTTAGTTTTCTTTAAATGAGATCCAGAGGGTTTTTTTTTTCCCCCTGGCCACTGTTATTTACTCTGGCACACAAAGTTAGCAGCAAGAAGTATTAGCAAAAACCCCCAAATCACATGGATATCAATAGAATAGAAACCTTCCAAGATTCCATATCCTGCTTATGCCTCAAATCCAGAAACATCCATTGACCTCCTTTTAGCCCTGACTGATGACAATGCAGATATTTCAGGCTGTAGCTCCCTGTTCACTGCAGTCTGTCTGAGGTTGTTTTGCCCCTGGACTATTTTTGCTCACATGGTTGCGCTCAGCCGCAGACATTCAAATGGAAACCAGAAAGATCCAAACACTTGGGAAGAACCTATAAACAAATGTAGGAAGAAGCATCCAGTCTGCCCATGGCTCCCACAAAGGTTTCTGTAGACAGAATATAAGGGGCTGAATTCCTAACACCTACTACTTGAAAACTTGCCTAAGTCTTTCTTACGGATACTTGGCTACTTCACAGGGATGGAAGCACAGACATTCAGAAGAGCAGGCTGGGAGAGTCTATTCAGTGTGTGTGTATGTCTGAAGATTTCCCTTTTGAGCTGAGAACAGCTGGTTGCCTGCTGTTTTGTGCCTATAGAGAAAATATAAATTGGGCCATATTTATTTATTTCTAAAATAAAAATCAATTAAACAAAAACAAGTCCCTAGGAGCTCTGGCCAGTTAGCTCAATTGGTTAGAGCTTTGTCCTGATACTCCAAAGTTCCTGGTTTGATCCCTGGTCAGGGCACATACAAGAATCAACCAACAAATGTATAAACAACAAAAATTGAAATCTCTCTCTCTCTCAAATCAGTAAGTCAAAATTAAAAACAAAAAACAAAACAAGTCCCTAGGTTTAGAATCGTACAGAAAAATGTCAAGCCATTGAGGTGTCATTTAAATAAGAAAATGGTCAAAATATATTCTAAGCATTGTATGAATAGTATCCATTTGCGGATCAATAAGTGACCCCAAGCCCAGTTTGTAAATATCCAAACACCACTCACCACAAAAGAACTCTCTAGTTCTGTAGAACTCATAAATGCAGCACTACAGTTGGCACAGGGCCTTCCAAATTTCTATTCTTTTCCCCTAAAGTGTCAGGCTCTTTCTCCAATGCTCCCCAAACCATCATGACTGGACCACCATCAGCCAAAAACTGATGCAAAATAAGGAAAGGATGGAACGCACACCACGAGGCTGCCCTGGCAAAGTCTTCTAATTGGAGCATAATCGAACTTACCAGAGGCTGCATTCATCATAGTCCCGGGTATGTTCACTCATCAGCCTGCTGTCACCTTTGAAGGATTTTCCTCCACAGGCCCCAATGCTTACATCCTAGAAAGAAATAGAACAACATTCTATGGGACCTTACTGCCCTTACTTCAAGAGCATATTGGGCCATTGGATCTAAACACATAAAAGCAAAAAGAAAGAAACAATCTCACCCCAAACAGTAATAAAACTGGAAGGAATCCTCGCTTTCATGAGTGACCAAATCTTTTAAACATGTGTCTATTAAATAGATATATATGTGTGTGTGTGTGTATGTGTGTATGTGTGTGTGTGTGTCTGTGTGTGTGTGTGTATATATATATATATATACACACACACATATATATATATAAAGAATAGTTTATTGATTTTTAGAGAGAGAGGAAGGGAGAGGGAGAGAGAAACCTCAATGTAAGAATGCAACATCAATTGCTGCCTTGACTGGGAACAGAACTGGCAACCTCCTCGTGTCCAGGATCATGCCCAACCAACTGAGCCACACTGGCCAGGGCTATTAAATACATCTTTTAAGACTACTTGGAAAATGATGTACAGCCAACCAAAACAAAATCAGCATATAGAACATTTTCGCCATTTCCCCTTCCAATGAATTGCCTGTTTTCCCATTTAAACAATAACCTTATTGTTTGCCCTGAAGTACAGCAAACGACTAGTCATATTAGGAAGTGAATGAATTGTTGTATTGTCAACAAGACCTTTTTTCCCCATACACCTATTATTTCTAGGAATTCCGTCCAAAGTTAGAAACTTTGAAGAAAATTCACACCGCTTTCATCTGCTTCCCTCACTCTGACTTCTCCTGGGTTTAGAAGGGGTTGCTTAGCAATGGGAAATTAGTAGTAGCGGAGTGGTACTAGCGTTTGCACAAGTTTCTGAGCACATACTGTTGTGCCTTCGTCCAAGTCTGATCAGAATGCTGGTCCGTGATACTTTCTGTGTTTTATGTAAGCCCAGGTAAAACACAGGCCACCCTCTGGAAGGGTTCAGTTTACCTACTGGTACAGGGGTACATGGAGACATGGGACACCCTAAGTCCTTCCCTGTCTTCCCTCTCTCGGAGCCAAGAAGAAGAGAGGTCTCAAGCTTTGTCTGATCTGAATGATTCTGCCTTTATAATTAACAAAATCAGATCTTTTCATTGTGAGTCAGAAAAAAATGTTCAGTGCAAAAATATGTGGAGCTGAGGCAACTTTTCAATATTTTGCCAAGCATGTTCCAAACAGAAAAGCACTCATATGCTCCTACTCTGTGCATCAACGGCCATAAAGAAGCAGTCAGACAGCCAGAGATACTCATGCACGAACTAGGCCCCGTGCAGCATCACATCCAGCCTCAGCCAAAGCCATGGCCACACCAGTAAACTTTATCTTCACATGTCCCACGGAACAGCTACCACAGGGTTCAGCACTCACCCTTCATCTTTATTCGCTTTGTATCCTATAGTCCTCCCTTTCTTTATTCCTTTTAAACTAGGAAGGGCTGATGCAGCATGAAAAGTAAAGTGTGTCCCTAGCTCCCCAGTATGCTCAGAATTCTAGGGCCAGATCAGATTTTGCTTAAGACTCCAATATGCGCGTATGAATATGTTTTCTTGAAACCTTGACGATATCTACATACAAATGATGAGTAATGATTCTCAGAGAAAACTATAATCCTTCAATCTGTTTATTCCCTCTTCTGGGTGAGAAACAGGAATGCGTAGAGGCTAACCGCTCTTCTCCACCCCCTCTCCCACCCCTTCCCAGGCTAGCCCGGGCATATTCTCACGGCGAAGGCAGGGGTGCGCCGGTGGAAGCAGAAACATGCAGTGTGGTTGGTTTTCAAACCTCTGTGTGTGTCCCATCTGCTAACACCTCAGTGGCCAAAGCTGGTCATGTGGCCACATGAGGAATAGGTATGGAAATAGACTCCCCCAAGGGGTGCTTACACTAAGGATAGTGTAAAGGTAATTGGGGTCCCCAATGCAGTGAATCTGTGACAGTCACAATGTACTCACATCACATATGATAATATAGAGATCCAGAGGTTGTAGCAGAGATGAAATCAGAACACTAAATTTAGAGTTTGCTCTTCTTTTTATGATACTCACTGTCTTTATTTTACTAATGTGTAATGAAATGACTGAAAAGGTACACTTTAATCAGTTTCGGTATTATCAAATATAACCCATACTCTCTATAATAGTGCCTAAGAATACTGTATCTATAAAATATATATGAACAGCTTTGGCCCTGGCCAGTGTGGCTCAGTTGGTTGGAGCGACGTCCTGTACACTGAAAGGGTGAGTGTTCGATTCCTGGTCAGGGCACATACCTAGGTGGCGGGTGTGTAGGAGAAGCAACCAATCAATGCCTCTCTCACATCAATCTTTCTTTCTCTCTCTCTAAAATCAATGAACATGTCCTCAGGTGAGGATTGAAAGAAAATACATAAATAAAATAAAATAAAATAATAAAATAAAATATAAAATAATAAAATAAAATAATAAAATAAAATAATAAAATAATAAAATAAAATAAATAAAATAGTGAAGAGCTTTGAACCAAACATAAAAATCTTAATTCTCCATTTGATGCTTTAGAAGCTAAAATATGCTATTAGAGAGCACAGTGCAGGCCAGTCAACTATAAGAAAAAGAGAACTATGAACTATAAAGGCTGGAGACACTATCTGCTTAGAGTTACCAGATTTAACAATAAAACATACAATATGGCAGTTGAAATCAGAATTTCATAAATAACGACTGTTTGGTATAAGTATCTTGTGCATTTTTTGGAATATACTTATGCTAAAAAAAGTTTTGTTATCTGAAATTCAAATTTAACTGAGTATCCTCTGTTTTATCTGGCAAGCACAAACCTACTAGGAGCTTTAAGAAATATACAAATCATAACCAACAGTGCATGATATACATACATAATAATCTATCCCTAAATATTTTCCTGAGGAGTTACTGTAAGTATTCAGAATAAAGACACTAATTTTATCATTAAAATTATTGTCATATTAATTATCTTCCAATACAAACTTTTCCACAAAGTTACATAAATAAGAAAGCACAATGAGATTTTGTATGTATATATGGTAATTAATTCCATGGTAGAGTTTGAGTGCATTGGAATTGAACTTCATAATGCATACATAAATTTGTTGAGGCTCTGAGGCCTTTGATGGGCTAGAAAATTGAAAACACGGAGTAGGAACTTTCTGGATCCCATAAGCCTCTGTGGAAGAGGCTGGCTCACAGAGTGGATGTGACAAAGGATGTGGAGTCAGTGGTCTCAGCAACGTCTTCTCAGTGCCTTTCCTCGCTCCACCGGCAGGGAGGCAACGCCCAGTGGATTCACTTCTGTGTTCCTCTCTCTACGGACCCCAGCCACAGTGCCTGTGGCCCCCGTGTCAGAGCCCAGTGTTTGAATGGAATAAACAAATGGGAGGTTGTAATAATCCAAAATTTTGAAAATAAGCAAAGGAAAATGTTTAAATTAAAAAATAAAATAAATGCAAGGGATTAGTGTCTATATGATTTGGTAGATGAGATGAATAGTTAATAACTGTCTGGTTCTATCAACAGTTGTCAGTGGGAAAGATTTAAAACAACCAACAACAACAACAACTTGCTCCTAAATCTGGCCAAGCTATCTGTTAAAGCTGGTTCCCATTAAATGTTTGTTAACTTAATTTATGAAAGCAGAACCCAATGGCTGCTGTCTGCTGCGTGCAACAGGAGCTGTATGTGCACAGCAGGCTTTCTGCCAGTGCAGAGTGTCATACAGACTGGTATCTTGTATATAAACATTGTTTGAATCTCTAATGATCCAAATTTAAAAATGTTCTTTATGGCTCCAATATCCTTATAATACAAAACAAATACTGAACTTCCTGTGTTAGGTTCCTGTGTTCAGACCGTGGACCTTCTTGTTGGCAAATGGAGGTGAGCAAGGGTTTGTTTCACCATTTGCATTAGGCCAAAGTTTTCACTTCCACTAGGGCTAGAGAGGAGGTTGCTATTAAAGGAGAATTGACTGTGTTATACGAATTATTGTTACTGGACAAGGGCATTATATTTTAAATTTTTCTTATATTACAGAAGGCTTGTTTCTAAGTTAAACATTAAATATGTATGTCTTATGAACACATAAGTATCTTATGGATATGTTGGATATTACTTATAATGTAGGCTATAATTATATACAGAATGAATACAAAAACAGTGGTAAATAAAAACAGTGGTATAAATTACAGTATTCCAATACAAATAATGATGAGCATAATTAATAATATACGTTCCCCCCCAAAAACAGAGTGTTCCTGTGAAAACTTTCATAAGCTGAAATGTCAAAAAGAACCATTAATTTATATAGAAAAACTTTTGAGCATTCCTAGACCCCCCAAAATAACCTACCAAATTATACCAAATAATACATAAAACCTACAATAACACTAACATATAGAAAAGCTGGAATATGATAAGTACACAGGCTGCATAAAGTAGAAATAATGCATGTACGGTGTAGTTTCACTTACCAGAATCGGGAAGACAGGGAGCACACACTGGAAGGTGGAGAGGTGGTGAAGATGGGTGTTAGGCTGAGTTGTCCGAGGTTGGGGTGGTAGGAGTTACAGGAGGCTGGGGTGGAGGAGAGAGAAGGAGAGGTCACCAATTAACATCTCTTCATCGTCTGAGTCAGGGCAGGCAGGTGACTCTTGTCTGCACCTTTTATGTCTGTGTGCCTCAGTGTAGAAGGTCAAGGTTCTTGTCTGCTGCGGTGGGTGTGGAGGGCTTGCAATGGGACAATATGCTTGCCTGCTTAGCCTCACGCATTTTTCTCTCATACAGTTCTTCAGAGGCGCTCAAAACATCCTGAAAACCTGCCCTAAACTTACATGCCCTTTCCAAATTAAAGTCATACATTTCTGATACTTTAGGACACATCATGCTAGCTAAAAATGCACAGAATAAATTGAGCTAAAGCACAGACGCTTACAGACACAGTTCAAAGCCATGGGGGCTTGATGCTGAGATGCTGCATGTGGTGCCCAGAGAAGGAGCCTGTCGGTGCCACTCTCACTGCTTGGGGTGAATCTGTCTCTACAAAGGCTGCTGCCAAACAAATGCTGAATGATATTTTCAATTTTCACCTTTTTTCCAAAAAGTGAAAATCCTCTTCGGGTTTCTTTTGGTTAGCAAAAATAGGTACTGATGTAGGTCTTTTGTAAAAGTGAAGTGATGAAATAAACTTTTGAAAATCAGGAGCTACCTGTATATGCCAAAAGGAAAAAAAAAAAAAAAAAAATGAGGGGAATGGTAAGAGAAAATACTCATTCTCTTTTCCTGGCTTCCATCCAGTCCATAAATATCTCCCACAAACTTTTCTCCCCTTCCCAACCCAAAGACAGGCAACGAGGGAAGCAGACACTGGTGTTCTCACTCCACCAATCGGGAAGTCTTTTTGGGTATCTTCCAGGGGCTCCCCCCGTGCTATATAAAGTGAAGGATACAGAGAAAGTGTGAGGTCTGTCGCTGATGTCCGTAGCTTACGGTCTGCTTATAACATCCCCACAATGGCTCCGCCCTGTGGTTTTGTCATTTGTATAAAAATATCCTCCCACATAATGGCCAATAGTCAATGTGGATTCTATTTGGGTGGCTAAGGTGAGAACCACTGAGGTAAAGGGCAATCTCATCCACCTTTTATCATGAAAATTATCAAGTACTCGCTATGTTCTAGCGCAAACATGAATATTTGTTTGATCTTGAGAGTGGGTGTATGTGTGTATGTGCGCACACATATGTAACAGAGAGAGAGGAAGAAATTTAACCTAAATAGCTTCAACATGAATTTAAAAACAGTAACCTGAAAAGGTCAATGTAGCACCCAAATGATCTGCAACTGGGTGTCTAACCACCAAAGGAAGGGACAATTAATGGATTAAAAATCGGAGAGTATGTTTGATAAAATATGGAACAGGCAACACTTTGATTGACTGCCTGCTGTTGTTACTTGTTTCGTTTCGTTTGGTTTCCCAGTGTTAACTGGTTGTAAATGTCATTAAATTCCCAGTTCAGGACATCACTTAGGCATTTGCTGAAAAACTTATCTGTGTGTAATACTCATGTAGACTTCATTCTTATTAAAATAAGATGCTTTATTTAGCCTATGAGTTGGAATTTTTAAAAATTCCTTTATGCTAAAGTCATCCCTGTTTCTCATTTCAAAACCAACCCAAATATCTTAGAACCAAAGAGAGCATTCAGTCAGCACATTGTCAAACCCTAGAATGTTGATTTGTTAAAACTAACATGTTTTTCCTTTGTTTTCTTACTCACACCTCTACTTAGTTATTATCTGGACAAGTACTTTTCCATTTAAACAGGTGGCAGAGCCAAGAGCCCGTGACAAATGAGGCTATTCACACCTACTACATGGCATCAAGTGAGCGAAAGTTGGCAGCTGAGGTCTCTGAGGAACAATTGTGGATTTGGTATCTTAAGACCAAGTTCCAATGTCAGCTTTGCTTCTTGCTTGATTGACATTAGATAGGTCCTTCAATGCCTTCTGAGTCCAATCCTGAGAAGGTGATATAAGGCTTAGAGTGTTAGGGGGAGGTTTGTATGAGAGAAGATATATAAAAATGCTTTACAGGATAGCAACTACATGGTGTTAGAGGAATGCTGTAGTGTGGCTTCTGCAATTCCATAAAAAGGGGCAGAGCCACCTCAGAAGTCTCCTGAAGATATCTGTCAAACAGCATAATCTTTGTTCTCTCTTGACCTCCAGACCTCTGTCAATCACTTTGCCTTGTAGTCACCCTGATGACAGAACAATTGTGAGTTTTCGTTGCTCAATCCTTAACAAGAGTCTGAATCAACCACAATAAAATGAGGAGTATTTCTGATTAACAAAACAACGGCAAGAAGATACCAATGGTTGGGAGAATTTAAGTCAACAATAGAAATATATTAATTTATTCTCTATCAGCTTAAAATATATAAAGTGGCTTAATTTTAAAATCGCATCTATTATAAGAAAATTAACATGCAAAGTTGAAATTAAATGTGTATAGAAAAGCTGGAACTTTTCAAGGAAATATCCTAACAACTAGGCTGATAAAAATCACTGTAATTAAGCATTTAATTCTGCACTGAACTTCCTACCAACAAAGTTGAAATACAAGAATATGAAATGATGTAATTCTCATTATAAAACATCTCAATATAAAATATTAATGGAAGACAACCCTTATTCCTAGACATAAATTATAAAGGGATTTTGTTGAGATATAATTGACATATGACATTATATTAGTTTTAGGTATATAATATAATGATTTGGTATATGTATATGTTATAAAATGATTAGCACAATAAGTTTAGTTAACATCTATCACCACACAGTTACAATTTTTTTTCTTGTGATCAGAACTTTTAAGATCTACTCTCTTAGCAACTTTCCAATATGCAATACATTATTATTAAACATAGCCACCATGCTATATGTTAACACCTCCAGGACTTAAGGGTCGTATAACTGGAAATTCATACCTTTCGACCACTTTTACCCATTTATTTATTTATTCTTTATTTCTGGTATCCTAATCAAGATACAATGCTACAGTTCTCAAGCTGTGGAATGAGTAACCCCAGGACTATGGTGATATGCCTAGAGTATACCTAAAGGCACAAAGGACTTAGAGCATTAACTTAATTTGGGGTAAAATTCACATTTTTACATGTTTATATTAGTGCAAGCACATGTCTTATGAAATAGAAGCAAAATTTTTATTTGCTTTTACAAAAAAACATGTCTAGAAATACATTTTTCTGCTGAACCCATGCTCCAAACTGCAGAAGCAAGGTTGTGCTCCTGTGCTGAGGAAGCCCTTTTGCAGAATTTGCTGACAGTCTAACATGATGACAGTATCTTCAACAGCAATTTTAGAGAAAATGCTAACGCTTTCCCATGCAGTTATATATATCCTCCAGCAAAATCCAGGGCAGAGCTCTAAAACTTGACTCACAAAGGTGCATGTTCAGAGAGCCAAAACAAGAAAGCTTGTTTTGGATCAGGTTGCTTTAACTCCAAGGAAACAGAACTTCATCTCAAAATGTGGTCCTCAGAGTACCTGCATCAGAAAAACCCTGAAAATGCTTATTAATATGAAAGATATTTAATATATACCCATGACCCAAAGGGTGCTTGTTTTTGGAGCAGAAACCCAGGAATCTCCATGGGAACTTAATAGAGGATGGATACATAGAAACACTGAAGTTTGCAAATAATTTCAGATGGTTGAAGGGATTGAAATTCCCTGAGCTGGCTTTCCTGCTTATCACTTTTCCCAGCTGGCCTTTTCATCAAGCATGGTGGCAGCTAAACTCCTAATCGTTTTTAGAACTGATCAAAGGGAGCACCCTATATTTTGAATACCAGAACTCTAGGTGGAAAGTTTATTGTGCTGCTGGGGAGATTGAGAGCCTGACTTAAGCCTCACTCATTTGGGGAATCAGTAACACTTACCTGAGAAGGGTTACAAGGGTCACCACAAAGAGCGGAACATTTCTAAATGCCTTCCTCAATCCGTTTAAGTGCCTGAACAAATATTTGAATGAACACCATACTTCTGACCATCCTTTCCTTTCACAAAAATCAAATTCCCCGTGTTGTTATAAGGTCCTATTGTCTATCAGTTTTGTATCAAACTTCCTCAGAGTAGATCTTCTCAGACTCTTTAATTTATTAACTTGCAGAGTTTTGAATAGGAAGATACAAATGCAAGTTGTTTTGGTAATTTTTCTTGAACTTATTGGACCAGAGAATCTTCTTAGAAAACCAACTTCTGTATCCCCCTGCTGCTCAAAGTAGAATTCGGAAATCAACATGGATCCACGTAAGCATTCCCCAGGAGCTCGTCAGAAATGCAGTGTCTCAAGCACTCACCCCAGAACTAACTACTAAGACGGAGTCTGAGTTTAGCAAAGTCCTCGGGAGATTTGTATGCACATTAAAGTCTGAGAAGCAAGACTACAGAACACATCGTGAGGACCAAGGCCAAGGACAATGACAGAAATGGTTGTAACCTGGAAAACTTCAAGAATCAGCCTTACAGTTCATTCACCTTGGCTCTTGAGAGACTTCGGTGTTGTTTCCAAGGAACAGCTGCTCGGTGCAGGGAGTTTTCACTCGGAAAATTACCTCTGAAGCCTGCATGCAAAGCAAAACTTTTCTGCAATGGAGAAAAGCCCAGAGCTGGGCTATGGTCTGTAGCTTTCTTGGTCTATGGACAGTTTGATTTGCACCAAATGTGTCCCGTGGAGACAGAGATGCTGAAAGAATTAGAACTGTGCCTGCCATTTGAATCTGCTGAGAAGCAGCCCATTTCCCAACTGCAGCTGAGAACACATCATCTCGTCTTAGCTGACAAATAATCAGAGATTTTCCAAATTACTATTTCCAGGCTGCTCTGAGTCCCAAGCACAGATTCTGAATCAGGTGTGTGTGAAATATGAAATACAAACAGGGCTGGAATTGGGAAGGAAAGATGAAGCTTGAGCCTTAACAAACAAAATGTACATGTTAATAAAAGCCATGCTTGGCCTCAAGTCCATGTAAGGTATGGATCAACCAGCAAGAGCAAGGTTCCCATCGGAATCTTCCCAGCGTTACAGCCATGACTCATGCCCAGAGCCATCTTGTCCCTGCAAGAGAAGCATAAATCATCATCCATTCTTGAAAATGATGCCAAAAGTGCATTTTATTCAAATGCATTCCTTAAAATAATTGCTGAGAAAATAATACGCAAGTATTCAACTGACAACTGACTCTTTAGTGTTCACATCTGGAGGGAAAATGTGTCATGGAGTGGTTAAGTGGATTCTGGAGATGCTGGGAATTCCTAAACACACAAAAGGCCAAGAGCAGCAGAGATTGCTTTACGATTTTGAGGAGGAAACTTTTGAGTCTTGGTAACATTTACGAAAAGGTCCCCTAGGTTTTTATAATGCCAACCTTGTTGTGTTTTTCTTTGTTTGTTCTTTTCATGTGTTAACCAACAGCATCAGGGGGGAAAAAGGTATTTGTCATGGATTTCTAATAGCTCTCTCCCTCCTATACCCTTTCCACCAGCATTCAAGCAAGCTCAGGACTCCTTCACAGTTACAATAAGCCGTCTTTGACTCTGTTTCCCCTCCTACACCCCCTTTTTAAGCTATCCT